TAAGGAAAAGAAAGTGCAAACTTCAAGCAGCTTGGTTTCCCTCTCCTTGAGCTTGTGGCAAACCTGTGAGCGGTGGGGCCTGCTCCCTGGCAGGCGTGTTCAGGCGGCGGTGCGGGGCGCGATACTACTTAAGCGCGCGTCGGGCCAGCTTTTTGATCGTGTTGGTCCAGAAGTTGGTGACCTGGGTGTCCGTGCGCCCGGGGAGCAGCGCCGCGATCTTGGTCCACTCGTTGGGCATTCGGCGCTGCGCGCCGCGGATGATCTCGATCTCGGCGACGGTGAAGGGGTCCCGGTTGACGTTCGGGTCGAGGTGGTTGGTCCAGCGATCGCGGATATGCTTGGATGTGCGCTGGTCCTTCTCGTCCAGCGTCTCGTTGAACGCGACGGCGAGCTTCGGCCATTCTTTCGGTCCGCGGGCCTCGACGAGTCGCCGGACGCGGTCGTCCTCGAGGGGAAGCCACGGGCGCCGCGGGCCCAGTGGTTTGCGCCGTTTCCTTGGCCGCGACTCGCTGCCCGGCATCGCCACGGGCGTGGCGGCGGGAGCCGCGCGCGCCACGGGCGGCGGCGCGGCGGGCGACGGCGCGGCGGCGAAGGCCGGCGCCGCGGCGGGCGACGGCGCGGCGGCGGCGGCCGGCGCCGCGGCGGCCGGCGCGCGCGGCGGCAGGCCGAGCGCCCGCGGGCGCGGCGGGCACGGCGGCAGGCCCAGCGCCGGCGGGGGCGGCGGGCACGGCGGGACCCCCGGCGTGGCGAAGGCCGGCGGCGCGGCGAGCGCCGGAGCGCCGGCGAAGGTCGGCGACCGGCGCTGGTCCAAGAGCGTGCCCAGGGGGTCCGCGAGCACCGCGGGCGGCAGCGCCGCGAGCTGCCGTGCGCGCCGGACGTCGCCGGAGCTTGGCCAGTGGTCGCGCCGCCGGCGGCGCTCCGCGGGCGGCAGCGCCGCGAGCCGGTCGCGCTGGACCTTGTTCTTGTGGTCGAGCAACCGCCGCCGCTCCGCGGGCGGCAGCGCCGCGAGCCGGTCGCGCTCGAGCTTGGCCCGGTGGTCGAGCACCAACCGCCGCCGGGCGTCGGGCGGCGCCGCGGCGAGGCGCTCGCGGAGCGCCACGAGGGCCACGCGCTGGCGCTCGCGGAGCGCCGCGAGGGCCACGCGCTGGCGCTCGCGGAGCGCCGCGAGGGCCACGCGCTGGGGCTCGCGGGCCGCGCGCATCTCCTCCCAGGACTGGTGGGGGCGCCCGGCCCAGTAGCGCTCGTACTGGAGCTTGGCCTTGTAGTCGAGGTAGGCCCGCCGGGCCGCGGGCGGCAGCCGCGCGAGCCGGTCGCGCGCGAGCTCGTTCGCGTGCGCGCGCCGGTCCGCGAGCGCGGCGCCGGGGGGCTGCGCGGCGTCGACGAAGCGCGACGCCGGCGCGCCGCCGTCGACGCCGTCGACGAGGCGGGCCATCGCGTCGTCGTCGAGGAGCACCTTCCACGCGTCGTCGCGCTTCGACACGTCTTCAAGCTGCACCAACAGCGCGACGAGCTGCGCCGCGTCGTCCTCGCCCAGGGCCGCGGCGCCCAGGTCCGCGTCGTCCTCGCCCAGGGCCGCGGCGCCCAGGTCCGCGTCGTCCTCGAGCATCTCCAGCGCGTAGTCGTCGCCGCTCGCCGCGGCGCCCAGGTCCGCGTCGTCCTCGAGCATCTCCAGCGCGTAGACGTCGCCGCTCGCCGCGGCGTCGATGATCGCGTCCACGCCGTCCGCGCCGTCGCCGAAGCCCGCGTCGTCGACGGACAGCGCCGCGTCGCCGAGGCCCGCGCCGTCGACGAAGTCCGCGCGCGAGCCATCGTCGATGGAGAGGGCCGCGTTCGCGGCCGCGACGTCAAACTCCGACTGCTCCTCGCACGCGAGGGCGCGGGCGAGCGCCGCCTTGGCGGCGGCGTGCTCCTCCTTGGCCTTCCCCCTGAGGATGAGCTTGGAGCCGACGAGCGCGCCGCGGTTCGCGCCCAGCGCGGCGACCGCGTGGAAGAAGACGACTGCTACGAAGGTGTCGTCGTCGAGCTGGAGCGCGGCGACGATCTGCTGCCCCGCCATGACGGCGGGGAGCGCGTAGAGGGACTCGGGCTCGACCTCGAGCACAGTCATCGCGAAGACGCCGCCGTCGCGCGCGCGGAGCATCGGGTCGCCGAGCTTGTCGACCGGCGCGGCGAACATGTACAGGTGGCACCCCATGTCGCTGTAGACGCAGCGCCACTGCTCCACGCCGTAGGTGCCGTCGGCGACGCAGGCCCTGAACAGCTCCAGCCGCTGGGCGCTCGTCGCGGAGGCCGGGAACTCCAGCGGCGGCAGCTCCGGGTGCTGCTCGCGGAGCCGCTCGTACAACTTCATCGTCGCCACGATGGAGTCGGCGTGGGGGCCCAACGAGTCGACACCGTGGTCGGTCTCGCCGTTCGCGAAGAGGCGCACGTGGTCGACCGCGGGCAGCGCAACCATGGCCTCGACGCAGCGCCATTCCGCCTGAAA